GCCGGGCAGCTCCTCGGTTCGTGCTGCCCCGCGATCCGCACAACGGCGGGCAGTCCCGGCTCTGCACGCCGCTGCTCAGCTGGGGCTTCCCCCTTCATCTCAGCCAAAACTGCTCCCTGTACCTTGTCAAAAAACTCACCCCTTCACCTCAGCCAAAACTGCCCGCTTCACCTCATCTAAAACTTCTCCCTGTACCTTGTCAAAAACTCACCCCTTCACCTCAGTCAAAACTGCCCCTTCACCTCTGCAAAGGCTGAGCCTCAACTGTGCCTCAGCTCCGTGGGAAGGAGCTCCTCAGGAAAATAAAGCCACAAAGTCCATCCTCCGTGCTGAGGACGGATTTGGCCTGGTTGAAAGACCCAGACTTCCTCTAAGCTGGAAAAGGCGTCAGTACAATCATTAATTAATCAGAAGGAAGGTCATAGGACAGTTTTGTAAATACCAACAATTGTCTGGAATTAGGGTCTAAGAGGGGAAACCGTGCGAGGAATGGCTGAGGGCACTTGGCTTGTTCATCCTGGAAAAGAGGGTACTGAAAAGAAAAGAGGGTACCGAAAAACAAAAATAGAGGGTACTGAGGGCAGAGCTGACTGTGGGCTGCAGCTTCCTCAATGGCTGCTCCCTGTGACCAGTGACAGAAGCTGAGGGAACAGCATGGAACCGTGTCAGGGGGAGTGAGGCTGGGTATTAGGAAGAGATTCTTTGCCCCAGAGAGTGGCCAGGTACTGGAAAAGGCTCCCTAGGGATGTGATCACAGCACCAGGCCTGACAGAAAAGCATTTGGACATCAGGCATGTGGTGTGATTCTTGGGGATGTCCCATACAGGACCAAGATTTGGACTTGATGGTCCTTGTGGATCCCTTCCAACTCATGAGATCCTAGGATTCCATAATTCTGTGATTTAAGAGGTTGTTTTCCTGGTGTTTTTAAGGACCTTGGGCTTGCCCAGCCCATAATTAAGTAGGACAAACTACCTCCAGTCAGCTTCAGCACAGCAGGAATGGGAGATGTGCTGCCAGGTGTTTAGTAGGGAGCTTCTGGGAAAGTCAGCAAGGTTGATTTCCATCAGAAGTTAGACACCATGGTGTTTTCTGTCCACAACTTATCCCCAAAAGGTGAAAAGAGCTATGGCACCCTTGGTGAGATGCGTGAATTTATGTGAGAATACACAAGGGCTTGACTGTCTTTCATTTTCTGCAGTTCCCTGAATTGCTAAATCTTCTGGGTTTAACATATTTTCTCATCTCCAGCAGTGTTGTAGCAGCCCCAGAGCTGATTGACAGGCAAGCTAAGGAGAGGAGAATTCTATGAGCTCATGCTGCATCCTCTTGGTATTTTCTTACCATAAATCCATGTGAAATGGAGCAAGAGTGATGGGTTAAAATATTAACAGTTCAAAAATCAGACGCATTGGAAGGAAACTGCATTTTATTTTCTGTCTTACTCCATCAGTTGCTGGAGGACAATAAGGCCAGGACTTCAGAGAGAAATCTAAATGTAAAGAAACCCCAACACAAACCTGTGGTGGGAGTTTTAAGGCTGTTAGAGTTGAAATCCGTGTAAAAAAAAAACACAAAAAAACCTTTCCTCCAATTTGTGCCTCTTGAGATATCACTGCATGTTGGGGTAAAAGCTGTTCAACAGCCCAGGCTTTACCACAACCTGCTTAACAAGTGACAAACCCATCAGAAAAACATTAACATACATTAGCATGTGTAAACTGTGCCCTTAAATCATGCTATGAATAATGGCGATGACTTGCTGAGCTGTGCTGTGGAGAGAAGGGTCCCTCTGCCAGGGAAGTTGGGCTGAGAGTGAGATCAGGCCCTGACCCGGCTTTACGGGTTTCTCCTGCCTCAGCCTAAGCTCTCCCAAGTCCTTGCAAAGCAGCAGAGCGCCGTGGGCTGTGTTCTGAGTACCAACCTTGGGGGTTGTTGACAACCCAGAACAAGTTTCCTTCTCAGGATCATGACAGCAAGAAAAGTCCATTAGTCTGTTTCAGTGGGGCATTGGCAGCTTACCGAGGGGCCAGAGGGGATGAGCTGTGTGGGTTCAGCCTTGGCTGAAGGAGAACTAAATTATCTACAAAGCAAAGGTAAAAAGTGGCCATTAATTATGAGAGGTGATGGTGTAGCCCATAACCATGAGCTCCTGGATCTTTATTGCACGAGAAATTTGAATCATCAAAACAATATCCTGAATTTGAAGTAACCTCAGAAGAATCTTTGAGTCCAATGTTGGACAATCAAAAGCTTTGCTAAAAGAAAAAAAATCCCCACATCCATGGCCTTCCGTTTAGCCACTGGATGAGTTGGTGTAGAAAGAAATTAAGCCAGCACAGCACAAAGAATCTGCTCAGAACATTTCTGTAGTGTGAGTTTTTAAAAAAATCACTTTCATTCTAAGCTGTCAAGCCATCAATTCTCACGCTGCAATTTTTAGGAGAATGGCATATCTTTCGTCTGTAGCCATGCATCCTGCTTTAAGCTCAAAATTTAGCTCAGGCACGAATCAAAATGGAGAGGAGCAGTGGCTGTGTGTAATACTGTCTCTTACTCTGCTTTAAATACTCACCCAGGGCAGGGTGTAAATGGTTGCTAATGATCCCTCTGCCTTTTGTTTGAGCCATTCCATGGCAGACGGTCGCATCTTTCTAGTAGGAATGTCGCTGCTGAGGAAGCTGAAGTTTTTTTTCCTAGCCAGCACCTATTTGTGGCCTTCTCCTGCCAGGAGTGTCCCAGGCCATCCACCAGCGAGTGCTGGGGGTCTGCCCTACTGATCCTGGGTTTCCTCACTTGGAGGCGCTTTTGAGCTGATTTGAAGGGAATTCAAATCCCCAGCTTCAGTCCTAGCTGTGGCTGCTCCCGAGTATCAGTCTCGGAGCCTGTCCAAATTAGACACCCAGAGGCAGATGCTCCTTCTAGAAAAGTTGCCTGAGACTTTTCCCAGAGACATCTTGCCCACGAGCAGACTGGAAAGAATTGAAGCCAAGGAGCTCCTGCCCACCTTGCTGAGGCCCGGGGTGGACTCACCCTCCTCATTCCAGCTCTGCGCTTCCATCAACTTCACAATCCCTCAGGAGTCACCACTCTAAGTCAGCTCTAAGGAAGGCAGCAGTCGAGCTTGAGAACATTAAATTAAATTTTGAAGGCTGTCTAGAGCACCATTTGGTCTCTCTATGAAACAAGGCCCCAGCTGTTGCCCTAGGAGTGGTCCTTGGGGAACAAGCCCATACAGATGTGCCTGACAGCCCTGCAAGGAACACGCGTCAGTGCTCACGAGGAGGCTGTTGCTTTGCTGTGGTTCAGCTCAGGCTGCTTAGCTGTTCCAATCATCTCTAAGTGCCCCAGCGAGTGCCTTGGAAACATGATTTCCCACAAGCCTTGGAAAAGGTGGGAGGTCCAACTAAGATTGCTCAGACCAGAGATTCATAAACTGCAACCTCCAAAAATGACTTTGCATCAAGATTTAAGTGATTTCTAACAGAAGGGCTGATTGGAGCTTGTGGCGCCTCAAAGTGGCAGTGTCTCCTTGGGGTCATTCTGGCTGGTGGCTGCTCTTGATGTGAATCCCAGGCAGCTGCACCAGCCCAGATGCTGTGCAAGAGGAGGGCACATTGTGCTAATGATCTTCAGGGGTTCCTCAGGACATTTTCCCAAGACT